CTTTTCTAAAAAACATTCTTACCTTACTATAGGAGATGCAAGTCCTAAAATTATTAAAAGTAATATTTGTCCAATTTCCATTTGATTTTATAAAACGTTTTAATTTACCTTATTCCTTTTCTAAAAAACATTCTTACCTTATAATAGGAGATGCAAGTCCTAAAATTATTAAAAGTAATATTTGTCCAATTTTCGTTTGATTTTATAAAACTTTTTAATTTGCGTCTTTCCTTTTCTAAAAAAACATCCTTGCCTTATAATAGGAGATGCAAGTCCTAAAAATATTAAAAGTAAACATTTATCGATGTCTATTTATTCATACAAGTTTACTGTTATCTTCTCTAAGCGATGTTGTTCAAATATTGATTTCTTTTTAATTCATTCAACAATTATATTTTAATTATTAGGAGGCACGTATTAAATTTATATACTCTCCCTAAAATTTAATTAATTAATCGACTTTTATAATATTATTTTTAATGAACCTATTAGAACGTGAGTACAGATTTTCTTCTATTTGATTTTTTTACTAAAATGAAAAAAAAATCTTTTTTTTCCTTTCTAACAAATTTTTTATTTTTATTTTATCATCAAACCATTAGCGGGTGAGTGTGTTTTTCTATATGCCTTTCTTCAAAACATTCCTCTAACCAATTTTGAATTTACTTCTTATTAAACTATTAGTTTGTTGACAAGTTTCATTATAATAGTTTTTTTTAAAACGTTCTCTAAAAAAAACAAAAATTTACGATTTACTTATTTTATTAAATAGGCTGTGAGTATTATTTTATTGTGTTTTCCTTGCGTTTTATTTCATCAAACCATTATCTTTTTAAAAAAATAATTTGATCGATTTTATTAGGCTGTGAGTATGCTTTAATATATTCGTTATATTAAAAACATTTATCTAATGGATTTACAATTCATTTATGCCATCAAATTATTAGGGCGTGAGTATGAGTTTTATTATATCTGTTATCTTAAAAAATCTTCTCCGATAGATTAATAATTGATTTGTTTATATTATAACTTATTAGTTCGTGAGTATAGGTTTTTTATATTTGTTTTCTAGATATAACATTTTATGATCATTTACGATTAAATTTATTCCATTAAACTCTAGTTCGTAAGTACAAGCTTTATTGTACAGTATTTGTTTTCTTACCATTTTGCTGATGGATTCTATAATTTATTTGTTCTTTTAACTATTAGGATGTGAGTATGAACTTTACGATCTTTATTATCTTTACAAATATTTTACCTATCAACTTTGATTCATTATTTCTTAATAAACTATTAGGACGTAAGTATAGGTTTCATCTGGATAAATTCCTATCAAAATTTGCCCGATCAATTTATAATTATTAATTTTATCAAACCATTACTGTAGTTTGTGAGTAGTTGCTCTCTGCATTTGTTTTCGTGATAAGCATTAACAGTATGCAGTAATCAATTTTATAACTAATCTATTCTTTATCAAACTATTAGGCTGTGAGTATAATTTTATTCTGTTTTTTTCTTTGCGTTCTCTGATCATTTTATAATCTAATTATTTTATTAATTACTAGGATGTGAGTACATTTATTGTTTATTATTTCGACAAATATCTCGCTAACTGTTTTTGCGATCCATTTATTTTAGGATGTAAGTATGCGTATGTTATATTTGTTTCTTTAAAAAGCATTATCTTTATGATTCATTGTTTTTATCAATCTATTAGCTCGTGAGTATAAGTATCATTATGCTTGTTATCTTAACAGACATTTGTTTTTAACGCTTTGCTTGTTTATGTCAAACTGCAAGATCGTAAGTATAAGTATTATTATACATGTTATTTTAACAAACTTTACTCTAACCTATTTTATAATTTATCTATTTTTATATTAGCCCGTAAGTACAGTATAGAGTTTATTGTAGTTGTTATCTTAACAAACATTTCTCTGATTATTCCTTAATTCGTTTATTTTATCAATATTAGAGCGTGAGTGCAAATTTCATTATGCTTATTATCTTAAAACATTTACTCTAATATATTTCATGATTTAGTTTATTAACAATTTGTAATGATATCGCATGTTTCCTGATTCGTTTTATTATTTTTTCATTTTATCAAACACTCAGCACGTGAGTATAAGTTCTATCATATTTGTAATTTTAACAAACACTTAACTAATCAATTTACTTTACAAAATTTTCGTTATTAAAGGTAGCTTGTGAGTATAAGTTTTATGATATTGTTTCTTCAAAAAAAGTTCTATAGTAGGATTTTCATTATTTATCTGATTATACTATTAGAATGTTCGTTTTCTTGAGTACTTCACCGATTCGCTTACAACTTATTTATTAAGCTATCAAACCTTAAGTATGTGTTTGTTGTTCAATTAGAATGATCGATTATTTAATTGAGAAAGCATCTGAATTATTTTTTTTCCCTCGTAAAATAGGTTCTGTCTATATTAATTTATTAAATAAATATCGTTCTTTAGTCTTTGAATTTAACGCTATCATAATCAAATATTTTTTAGTGAATAGGTTAAACAAAAATTTATTATCACATGTGCTACTATTGCGAATATAATTTGCGAGCATTACTTTTAACGAATAAACCAGTGAGATGAGTGCCAATGCATTTACTCTAACAATAATTCCGTAAAAGCTTATTTTCGTAATATGGGTAATTCTTTTTGAAGGCGGACAGAAAATTTTCGGAACTTGAAATTATAATGATATGCACACATACAAAAACAAGTTGTCCCCTAAATTGATATCATATATTATATTATACTGTATATTCCCGGATATTTAATGGCACATACAGTATACAGGGTGTATCAAAATTTTTGGAAAAAAATTTTAAATTAAAACACGAATAATTAAAAAAAGATAAAATAGAAATTTTCATAGTTCTCATTTGCATTTTTTTTTAAATTTTTTAATATTTTTATTATACTAAATGTTGAATTTTAAAATCGACTTTTAGCTTATAAAATTATTCAAAAATTAACTAATATTATCAAACGTAATATGTACGGTCACAAAATACGAAATTAATTCTTCTGGATATTGAGTCAATAATTTTATTCAAAATTGAAATATCAAATTTTCTTCTTTGTATTTATCATAAGCTCTTATTTATTTTTCATGCATTTGATTATTATCTTTTAATAGTCTCCAATCATTTTTTATTTGATTTAAATTACTTGTTTTTTCAAACGATTCAACAAATTTTATTTTATAAAAACAAAATATTTTCTTGTTAAAAATATCAATTTAAAATGTATTGAATTTTATTATTATTTTGTTACAAAATGTCAATAACTCTTATTTCTTTTATAAACCATATCAGATTTAATACAAATATGAACCAATTTTGAAAGTAGATTCCAACCAATGAAATTAAACCTTTTCCCAATATATTATTAAATTTTTGATTGCTATAAATGTTTTCAAATTTTTTTATAGGTCTTATTTTTTTAAAAAAAAACTTTTTTTAATTATATAAAATCAAATCTTGATATTTTTTATAGGTAAACGTATTTTTCCACAATGTAAAAATACAATTTTTCATTATATTATATGTTTTTTATTATTAATAAATTACAAGTGAATTTTAAATAGTTAATTATTTTATGCAAAAATATATGTCATTATTTTATAATTTCGTATATAAATAAATTTTTATTACTGTCATTAAGAATTTGTGACCTTTCAAATCAAAATAAGTATTTAATTTTTCTTGTTTTATTATCTATTAAAAAAAATAACCATTTTTTTTTGTTATTATGTAGAGTACATGATATTACTACCCAATCAAGATATAATTGGGCTTGAAAAATTTTATAGAATTTTTGTGATTTTGATATTTTAAAGATTTGTTTCTATGTATAAAAAAAGAAAAAAATATACAAAAAGGAAAACAATAAAAAAGTATCTTTTAACTATTACTTATTTTATTATATATCATATTTACTTATCTCATATCACATTCTTAATATCTTTAACATTGAAATAAGTTATACCATACCAATAATAAAAAACTTACAGCTGATGAAGCTTTCAAGAATAATTATGAATACCTCCACAAAATAGTTTCTATCAAAAAATAGCAAGTGGATAGCGTGACCATACTACATAACATGTGTATATAACAATCTATGTAAATTTTCTGATTTTGGGATTTATATCGGAACCGAGCTTTTTTGATAAGTAAAACACTTTCTCTAAAAGATAAGAGGTTTATACTAAATAAAATAAACAGTTATATGGTTTTTGTGTTGTATTACTTTCACTTACAGCCACAAAGTGGTTAATTTATATGTTTGTCAATCTAAGAATAATGATCGAAGGAAAGGTTATTTATTGCAAAAAGCAATTAATCAGGTTAGAGGATTAATTGATTATTTGAATTGTCCTACATTTGTGATGATTGTTGAAGTTGATGGTATGAGTAACAAATGTCCGATTGCTGATTTCAATATGACAAGAACAAACAATCATGAATCTAATTAACACGCAAGATGTGAAAACTTCAGGCAATTTCGGGTCCTTTACCGTCCAAGTCTATAAATAAATTGATAATAATTAATGATTTGAGGAAATAAAATATTTTACAAACCTCACGCGACGAAAAATTTATAGTGAAGGTCCAAAGAATCTTGACAATCCTTAATACTTTTACTGCGAGACATGGTGAGATCGAACAAGTTCTTCAAAACTATCATAAAAATTTTGCTAGAGTTGCAACTGAATTTGACGCTATGCCATTATTCAAAGGATCGAACCTAGCCGTTGATATTCTTAATATTGGGGTGGGAAAGCTTAATATAGATAACAAAATTATTATCATAGGATTAATAATTTAAAAGCAGTAACTTGGATAAAATAGGTGCTTTAATCGATAGCAAACCAGTGAGGAATTCTCATTTTATGGGTTAGGGCTCTCTCTACATTCATTTAAAACAATAAAATTTTGCTTTTATGAAATGTAAAATAAAGCTTTATTATGTAGTTATAACATTAAGTGCCTGGTAAGTCTATTTAATGAACATAGTAGAATTTTTCTGAATATAGTATTCTACTGAGCGAGAATAAAATGTTACAGTATTTTTTTCTGGATGATACGTGAATACATTGGTTTTCAAGACTTCTTTGGCTTGTTCGGGCTTGTTGAAAAACTCCTCAAATGTAGTAAGGCTAAGTTCTTTAGAAAGCAACAAAGCATTGATGATACGTTTTCCTACTTCATAATGTTTAGCGTTTTCAAGAAGTTTTGCAGTTCTGATTTTTTTTCCGACTTCTATCAAAATATTTTGTTCAATAACTGCAAAAAGGCAACGAATATATTTAAATAATGAGCAAACAACAAAATCTTTGGTTAAAACGGTAATCAGATACAGAACCACATAATGTACTGAAAATATCAACTAATTCTACCTTCAATGGATTCTCCTTCCAGATATTTATCTGCTACACACTTCAGATCTAAAATGCGTCCACCAACCAAATCAAATAATCTTTCTGCTTCTGAGGTATCTACCTTGCCCTTCTTGACAGTCTTGATTCCACACTTATTGATCAAGTAATCTAATGATTCTTCCCTGGAGAGGTCACCAATTTCGATTGGTTTTTCTGCACGTGAACAATAACTACGTGCTAGAAGTAAAAGAATATTGATTATGAATATGCCTGTAAATAAGAGAACCAAAAAACCTGTTAGTATTTACCTTGCATTCTTCTCGGGACATTCCACTCACTACTGATAAACACAGTGATGTATTTTCTGTCATCAACATTATCCTTGGCATCATCTTGAAGGATATCAAGGATTTCTGGATTCTTATTAACCAACCGACCAACATTGTCGTAAACAATAACCGGTGGTTTATTGTGCTTTGCTTTGTACACCGCACCAGCACGCTTAAAGGCCTTTAGAGCTCTCTCCCATTCAGAGACCTTAAGTTTATCTAACAAAAAGAAAAATAAGTATCAAAACAAAATAAATTATAAAGCAGTAATGAAAACTTACCATTAGTTTTGCCTAATATTTTTCGCATCAGCTGTTCCGTAAAAGAAATCCTTTCATCAAATCTAAAATTAATGGCTTTTCTGAAAGCTTCACCAAATTCATTGAAATTCGCAGGAACATCAACGTATATAACTCCGTGTCCAACTTCATTCGATGCAATTCTTGTCAGCGTAGTTTTCCCAGATCCAGGTTCACCGTAAATCATGTGATTAAAAAAATGATTTCTATGCGGTTGAAAAATTTTTTTAAGGCGATCTACTACTAGAGGTCGAGAAACAAGTTCATAACCTAAAACGTTAATTTCGGGTCGAGTTCCCTTTTCCACAGTTTCGTTGAGAAGGCGTTCGTTACATCTGTTTCGATACCAAGCATATAGAAGGTCCACAGATATAAGACCAACAAGGCCAGTTACTTTTATGTTCGCTGATATAGCAGTCTGAAAATAATAAAAAGGTGTTGAAACTTGATCGAAAATGCATAACAAACAGCAGTAAATCTTATACTCGAAGTCGTTTTGCAATGTATTTTGTGGATTTTTTCATGTAGAAGGACGATTTAGACTCTTCGAGAGATGCGTGGGGGGAGGGTGAAGAGTTTGTATAAGGTCTCAAAGGTGATAATTGAGATAAGTCAGGTCTCAAGTTCCTCAACATAAGACTTGGCGACTGAAGGCATCGTACTCGATGGTTAACGAAGTAAATTGGAAAAACGGCCCTACGAAAGTGTTGAGTTATTTTGGAAGACATTATTGAAGAAATTAGAAAGATGATTTTTTTTTATGTTTCAATCACACGATCCGCAGTACCGTTCGGAAAATTCTTATCATACAACAGTTGCTAATTTTTCCGAATCGAGGATACAATACTGTAGTTGCTAATTTTCCCGAAACGAAGATTCTATTCGCAAGCAACATATGCCTCCATGACATTGCTGTAATTATAAGGTGAGTTTGGATTTGCCTATGCATTCATTATTCATATATACTAATCGAATTTTTTCTGAAAATAATCAGATTTTATTACGAGACAAAGCTAAAGTTGATGTGCTGGACATGTCAATTATGCGATCAAAGTAATAACGTTTTCCACCGATTTTTGTTTGTGCAAGCTTTTGCTGAGATTGTTATTACGTAAAAAATTATTCGAAAAAACATTAGGCCATTTTCATATAGAGCCTCTTCGTAAAGTTCTTTTTGATCTTATCATGTATCAGTTGCATTTCAAATTATTCTGGATATTTGTGAAAGTGTTTTTCGTGTTGCTCATGTTGTTTGCCTTATACCTCTATAGCAAGTCCATACTGTGGATAACAGATGTCGAGTTCTAGTCCTCGAGGATCTCAAGAAACCAGGTCGGCGAATGCTGGAAGGTTGACCAAGAATGTTGGTTATGACTTTGCCACTATATGTTTCATGTTTATTTAAGAAATATGGGCACCAATATTTAACATGCTTAATACAGTACTATTAAAATTGTCATAAAATTTATGACCTTTATTACACATTTATTGCATAGATTTATATATTCTGTAGAAAGATAAATATCTCTAATGTTAGCGATTTCACCAACTTCCATAAGACCACAAGGAAAATCAACAGCACATTATGAGTATCATATTCTCATATTTTTAACTTGATAAAGAGTTCATGTTCTGTAGAACGGCACTTACCACCTCGTTCTTGTGCAATATTATTTGCTATATTAATATTGAATTGTCATTGACTACATTTTTTGTTTTGTGTATCATGTCTTCGGATTGGGGTATATTCTTGTTCTGATGTAATAAGTCCTTGTACTGTGATAATATTTGATCTGGTATAACACATTTTTTTCTTGGTATACTACACTTTTGACATTAAGTTCCCTTAAGAATATTCTTTGCTAAAGCCTTTAACCCATGGCCTTCTTTGTACTGACATTCAAGAGTATCTTGTCTAATAATATATTCAGTTAATAGGCAAAGATCTACCTTTTTTCTGCAAACTTCCTTGTATTTTCAATTGTTCAGGTACAATTATTTCCAATAGCACACTTTGGGCTCCTAGTATTATGATGTTTTGCATGATGAAGCTTAGACCATTCATGTATTTCCAAAGCATTGGAGTACTATTATTAACATATTGTTCAGAGAGACACACAACTCCTCTACTATTTGTAATTTCTTTAGCCATGCCTACAGTTAATTTTGCCATTAACATTGTATACCAAATTTTTAAAAGACTAGTAAAAAATTCCTTCCTTAAATTCAACCTCTCAATAATTTATATCATTCAATAAGTCAGATTTTTATTCGCTATTCATTTTACAAAAATAAAAAATTAGCTTTGATCTTGTTAATTATGTATAGATCAAATGGTTACCTGTTGAAATGTATTCTATATTTGATATGGTTCATTATTTAATTATAATTGATTATTTTCAGCTACTGTAATCAGGTAATTATCATATATAGTAACAAAACTTTTAAGATTATTTATTTGTTTATTATTTAAAATTACTGTATAGAAACTAATAAAAAATATATCAAAATAAAATTGAAAATATACTTGAGATTTTATTAATATAAAATTAATAATTATTTATTTATCTTTTTTTTTATTATTATTTCATATTTCTCTTTCATTGAATTTATAAAATTATTTAAAATCTTATTTAGAATTTTATTTCATTCTTCTATTATAAACTCTTCTAATTCTAAAATAATTTTAAATAATTTTAATTCTATATTTCTTTAATAACAATTTAAAAATTTTCAATAAAATTAAAGTCTGGACTATTAAAAGAATAATCAATAATTTTTAAAAAAATTTCTATTAAAAATATTTTAACAATTTTGCTTGTATATTTGAATTATTATTATATTAAAAATAAAAGTTATTTTCAAATAATTCAATAATTTTTAATTTGTGTTTTTACAAAATATTAATATAAAACTTTGTATTTATAATTTCTTTAAAATAAATATAAGAATTTTTTTTTATTGATAAGTAAATATTGTTACTTTATTAATTGTAAAAAATTCAGATTTTTATATAACAAAAATAACAATATCTCTTATATAACATATTAAGTTAATAAGTTTAATGCTAGCTTGCCTACATTAACCTACTATGCGGTAAAGAAAAATTAATATTAAAACCATTACATATTATAGAAGGTGTCGATTAGTTATAAATATCTACTTAAAGGTTATTAATAATAAGTTGGTTAATATTGGAAATTAAAATTTTTAAACATAATGATGAATTGAAGTTACTATTTATAAATTTATCTGTAATGATAGATGGAAGGTCTATAGTTGTATTATCTTATTTTGAGTTGAAATTTGAGAATTGGCAAAAGTGACTATAAGACTAAAGATTCTAACAATTTTTTTTAATTCTGTATTCGATTTTCATATTAAATTTAATAGGTGAAATATATTCCACCATTATTTTTAATAGTGTTCTAAACCATATGTAATTCTTTGCAATTTTATTTGGTTTTAATTTTCAAAACCATATATAAGACTTGATTGGGAAGTTCTTGCAAAATCAATAAAAATTCTGATTTCAAATTATTTCTATAAAATAAGAAGTGTTTACTGTGTTGCACCTTGGTTTCCATACAAAATTGTAAAAAAAAAAGTATACTTTTGAAACTGCTTTTATCCAGGTATCAATATCAGTTATAACAAAAATCTTGCTGGTAACTCCATAAGACAGTTTAACTACCTATTAGATATGATCAACTGGAATATTATTTTTGCTGATTAGAGTATACTATTTATAATATTGATAATTTGAATTGTTTGCTCATTTGTCTCAATGCATTTGAATATGTGTCTTATATTTTCAATTCTGAGTTTACATCTTGGACAGAAAAAATCTAGGTACTGTTCTAAATATAATTGGTTGAAAAAGGCTCAAGTTGGAAGAGTTTCTGAGAAAATCTTGATCCTAAAAGATATTAAATCACTGTAGGAGTTGTTTCTTAAATTTTTGAGGCACTTGAAAATTTAGTAAGTACTTTAAGGCTATAAGAACTAAGAATTTCTCCAAAGGTTTCCATTACTGATATGCTTTTACATATTATATAGATCTTGATTAACCTTAAAATTCTTTTTAACCATATGATACTACTGCCCAGATTACTGTTGTTTATTTGTAGGTTTTCAGAAAAATGAAATGTTGAGATATTTCAATATATGGTATTGTTAGTTTTGAGTTTTGATTTAGGTTTAGTAAATTGAAATGAAATTGACTTTTGGAAACTTAAGGTATTAATACTTGAAATAATAAAAGAGTAATTGTACTTAACCATTCTTCTTGAATTATCTGAAATTTCTTGAATAATTTTTCTGTTGTCTTTAATTTCAATAGTTGTTAAGTCTTGATACTATTGAATAATGTCATATATAGTTAAAAGAATATTGAAAATTGAAGTGCTAAAATAAGAAGATATAATAAGATAATTGTTAATTATGATATCATTTTTGTAAGCTTGAATTGAATAGAGATGTGATTGTTCTAGTTTTGTTAGTTGAGATAATGTTGGTAAATTAAGTTGAAGATATATGTATTAAAGTGATTTTTTTTGAACTTGAGAAGTATTTAGAACTTATTCTAGCAGATTATTAAGATAGAATTTTAGTGAGTGAGAACTTTGTATGGATATTTATAGAAAAGATATAGATGAGCTAATAAAGAGAATAAGGCATGAGTTGTTGCAAAAAGTGTTTAATAAACAGCCTGGACACTTAATTAAATTGTTAAATTGATTTATAAGATGGTATTTGCCTTTTAATAGTATACTTTTCTAATTTCAAATATTTTTTATAGGTTTTAACTATAGCTCAGTTTGGATTAACAATTCAAAAAAGAGGTTTTGAATTGAGGATGGAGCCATGGAATTACCTAAGATTTGAGAAATTGGTAAAGTTTTTAAACCAACTGGGTTCTGGATCACATCTTGCAATTCCTGTGCAAAACATAAGTTATTGCCAGGTAAACTTGATAGTATTGTTTAATTTGAGGAGCTAGTTGATAAATCTGATGTTTAGCACATTTGCTGTATATATAACTGTTCTTTTGTGATGTCTTTTAAAATTTTTGAAAAGTAAGCCTATTGAGTTTTGAACATTGTCAAGGTGAAAAGGACATAATACTGGATATAGTTAAATTTTAAAGCCTTTTACTACAAGTGCTGCATTTAAAATTAATTGTCCTAGTTGAATTTTTCTGAGCTATACAACAGACAAAACCAGATTGTCTCTTTTTTTTTTAATTGATTTAATATCTTTATGAAAATATTTGTTGATTGATAAAATTGTAAGTTTAGCTATCAAATTATTAATTAGTAAGGATCTTTGTCTTTCCTTAAGCAGAAAAATCTTCAATTCTACTTCACTTGCTAAGATCCTATTGAAACATTTTAAAAAGATTCTGTAAGCAGATTTAATAAGTCTGTTGACTTTCTTTTGAAAATTGTTAAGCAGAGTTTTGTGAAAATAAGATATTAGGAGAAAGTATTTAAATTTTCCAATGACTATTCACTTGGCTATTTTCTGTATAATCTCTCTTTTTCACTTCCAATGAGTAAGTTCTTTCAAAATTTTATTAGTTGTTTTTTCAAAACTCTTTCTATTTGCTTTTAGTATATTATGAGAAGAGATTTGGATATCCAGATATCTTAGGCTTTTACATGACTTAAAAACTTGAATGGAATAGTTATCAAATATAATATGTCAGAATAAATTGTTTTTGGTTGAAATATTGTTAATTATTTTAGTTTTGTCTTTGTTGCAGGATAAGTTATTAATTTTGAAGAACTAATTTGCTGTTTCTAGAAGATTTTCTAGTTTGGACTTGAAGTTTGCAATTAGTGTGAAATCATTTATATACAGTCACCACCATAAGTATTCCCACTCCTAATTTCTTGTCGATTTTATGCAGACTTTTTAAATTTTTTGAAAACAATATTTATCATAAGTATTGATTGATTTTTGTCTTTTAAATTTTGATAGGTAGAACATATCAGCTATTGAATAATTAATAAACTTTGGTTGTAAAAAATGACTCTTCCTTTAAATAAGCAATATGAAATCATTTTTTTATGTATTCATTTGAAAGGTCCCAAGCTGTTATTAAGTAAAACAGCAAAACAGGTTTACTGTGATGAAAAAATAGTTCATTATTAGATTAAAAGATAGGAAGAAAATAAGGACTTAAGTGACAAACTAAAATCTGAATAGCAAAGGATCACCACTCCAAAGTAAGATGCCATAATTATTAATTTTGTAAAAAAAAAATGATATAACAGTTATTGAAATTCAACAGAAAATAAGAAAACATCATGTTGAAGTAAGTGAGACAACTATTAAATGATGTCTTCATAAAGAAGAAAATAAATTCTTTGCACAATTATTAAAAATTCTACTCATAGATAGGCACCAAACAAATTAACTAAAGTAGGCAAGAGCATATAAAGATTATAACTGGAATAAAATTATTTTTTCAAATAAAAGTATTTTTATTTAAATCAATAATCAAGAATGGTATAACAGTTTCCAATAGAAGAAAAATATTCCATTTGATAAAGTATCCATTAAAGATATATATTTGAAAGTGTTTTTTAGCTTCTGCATTTGGTCAGTAAATTTATTTTCATCAGAACTTAAATGTAGAATTAATGGTTAAGATTTATAAATTAGATTTCTATCTTCTGCAATTTGACTTTTTGGTAATAATTCTATAGGGTAAATGTTTCAGGAAGATAGTAATCCTAAGTATTGTTCAAATCTTATTAAACATTGGAAGCAAGAAAATAATATTGAAGTTCTCCCCTGGCCATTAATGTTATCGAATCAAAACCCTATAGAAAATGTTTGGGCAATTATGAAAATGAATATTGCAAAAAAAAAATAAAGTCTTTAAAGACATTAGTAAGGAAACTAGGAAAAGAATGAAACCATTTCTCAAATAATATGTCAGCAAAACTAGTTGACAGCATAAAAAATCATGTTATCACCCTAATAGAAGCCAAGGGTGATTATTTTTTTTTTTTTGCCTCTAATCAAACTGCAAGAGTTGCGTTTATTCATCCAATTTTGGAAAACAGTAGTACAATATAAATACTATACTAAAGCTAAACTGTCACATGATTTGCAAAACACCTGTCAATAAATTTAGAT